AAAAAAAAAAAAAAACAGTAGAGGAGCCCCCCAGAATTGTCTGAGACAGCAAAAAACAAGAGTGAATTTCAAACCACATTTTTTTTAAAGAGTAACTTTGCGAACAATTTTTTTCTTTTGTTTTTCACATCTACTTTTAGTTCATAGCTAAGTTTTAGTTAACTATAATAACCGCATCAGAATCTGCGTCAGCTCTATGTGGTGCCTTGGAGTTGAGGTTTCCATCATCTACCTGATAAATTGTGTCCATGCACTTTGAAGGTTATGTTTTTCGACTTTTCCAGTTCATACCATCAGGCCAACCTTCCTGGCTGATAAACTGATGCATGTGGATGCCTCTCTTGTGTCCTGGATTGTGGATTACCTGACAGGAAGGCCACAATATCTGCGTCTTCAACACTTTGTGTCTTCCACAGAGATCAGCAACACACTCGTGTCAGAAAATAAACCGGACTGCATTAAAAGCATCACTGCATTCTGCAGGAAGGGCCCGAGTCGTATCTATTTTCTGAAGCAGCTGAGATCTTTTAACATGTATCGGACAACGCTCAGGATTTTCTCTGAGTCTGTTGTGGTCAGTGCCATCCTCTTTGCTGTTGCATGCTGGGACAGCAGGATGAGGGTCACAGATGCCAACATATTATTGACAGAAAGGTAAAAAAGATGGATGAGATAATGAAGCTGTTTTCTAATGAAAGTTTCTGTTAAAGGTGCTATTAATTGGAACTTTGTCCATGTTTATTACGAGCATTAATGCTATAACTGTCACGATACTGGGTTTTGTACCCAGTGTTTTCTGTTTGGGAAATATCACTACCATTTGTAGTTTTTAGCTTAAATATTACCTTTGCTTTGGTTAGGTTTTCATTCTGATTTTGTATTCATCGTTTTCTTTGTTATTCTCAAGTTTTTCTGGTCCTCCTGTGTTGTCTATGCCTCATCTACGTTTCTGTGTCCATGTTCAATGAGTTTGTCTTTGTGTTTACTTTGGCCTGTCAAAATTAGGTGTTAGTCTCAGTCTAAGTGTTGGTTCCCTGTTTTATTTTGATAGTCTTTTGCCCTGTGTGTGTTGTGTTCAGTTTTTCTTTGCTCGTTTTCATTAATTGATTCTTTTCACTTGCACCTTGTTTTCCCCAGCAGTGTCTCTTTCCCCCATAGCCTCATGTCTTTTCAAGTCTATTCAAATTTCCCTCTGTTCAAGTTTTCAGTTTAGGTTTTTGCTCCTGAGCTCTGGCAATAAAGCTGTTTGAGTTTAGTTAAGCCTGTCTGCCAAGTCCTGCATTTTGGGTTCTCTCGCTGCTTGGCACACACCCTCACTTGATAGTAACAGTAAAAATATGACAGTAAAACCAAAAGTATTACAATTCTTAGTGATCAGCAATCATTAAAATCAATTGTCCCTGAGTGTAAAATATAGAAAAATTGGTGAAAACTTGGCATATAACATAATTGAGTAATGACATTTACAGTCATCACTTGTTGAAGGTTAAGCAGAGAACAATAGAAAATGTTACCAACGTGTGCAGAATGGCTCAGAAAAGACGATCAGATCCCTCAGCATCAAGACTGTTGCATTAAACATGGAGTTGCTGACACAATGAGCAGTAATTACAAGAGGACCTGGCTGCAGCCACTGTGGAGCTCCACAGTAACCGGAAACACGTGACCTCCACATTAACCGGAAACACGTGACCTCCACAGTAACCGGAAACACGTGACCTCCACAGTAACCGGAAACACGTGACCTC